CTGGGTGCTGCAGTGAGGGGGGATGGAGCTCAGGCCCCGTGAAGCACACCAGCAGAGAGCAGCCATGGCCCCTCCTCACTGTGTTGGGTTGTGCTGGTCTGTGCAGGCACAGAACAAAGCTGAGAACAAAACACAGCTTCAAACCTTGGGCGAGGGGCTGTGAGCAGCCCCCAGGCAGTTTAATCCTTTCTGCCAGGACTGGCTGTCCCGCAGGCACTGTAAACGTGGTGGGGAGGAGCATTTCTGTACCAAATCCATTATTTTTATATAAATATAAAGATATATATTTGTGTACATACACACAGCAGCCTGAGGTGCAGCCGCCTCCCCACAGAGGGCAATTGCACTGGAGGGAGAGGTGTTCCTAGGGATGGAGCAAACCCCATGGACACAGAGGGAAAAGTCGTTTGGAATAAGGTTCCTTCCCTTTGCTCCAGGTGGCAGGTCGAGTTACTGCTGTCCCCAGAGCAACGTGCCACAGGTGTGCTGAGCTGGGTGAGAGGGTCCAGGCAGGCGTGGGGGGTGACAGGGTCCCCTGGGAGAGAAGCTGGGAGCCAGCCCACCCACCAGCAACTCTAATTGATATTCATCTGTCTCTTCCTAATGGGAAAGTGTCTCTGAGTCACACTGACATTTCCCTGGGACAATGGTAATTAAGCACCCGGGTAAGAGGAATGTGCGGTAATAGAAAAGTTAACTTTTCTTAACTACATGAGTGAAAGGCGGGTTCGGCGAGGAGGGGGCCGAGCGTGCCAGGCACCCGCGGAAGAAGGTGGGAGTTTAATGGCAGCTCACGTCACACAGCGCTGCCACTCTGCCCCTGCGCCCCCCGTATCCCCCCGGGGACCCTCCCCCGAACCAGACAGGAGGGCTCTCCATCGGCTCCCCATCCCGGGATGGGGTAAATTGTGCCAGCAGGTTGGGACAAGCTCTGCCGGCCGCCGGGGCTGTCCCCGAGCGGCGGGACCGTGACCTTCTATAAATACATTAATAACAGAAGGAGGGGCAAAGAAAACCTCCATTCTTTGATGGACTTGGAGGGAAACATAGTTAATAGAGATGAGGAGAAGGCTGAGGTACTTAACACCTACTTTGCCTCAGTTTTTACCAGTAAGACAGGTGGCCCTCAAGGCAACTGGCCTCTGGAGCTGGTAGACAGAG